GATAGATAGGTAGGTAGATAGTCAGAGAAAGAGAGAGAAAGAGAGGAGACCTCAAGCACCTTTCGGTCCATCAGTGGATTCGCTCTGCCATCCCTGATTCACAACAACCAATCTCTCCTATAGGTTTCCCATTTTTGAAACTTCCGCCACCGCCTTGTGCGGTACTACTGGTATAATATATGTATATAGATATTATTATTATTATTATATATATATAATAATAATATATATATATATCATAATATATATATAATAATAATAATAAATAGTAATAATAATAAGTATAATGATCATAATAAGTATAGTAATAATAATTTATATATTTATATATAATAATAATAATCATAAGAATAAAAATAATAAAAACATATATATATATATATAATAATAACAACAATAATAATAGTAATAATAGTAATAAATATATTTATATATTAATATATATATATACATTGAGAGAGATGATTTGCAAATTGAAACTTCCATTTAGAGCGGATTTTCCATCGCCATGTTTGAGTAGCAGAGATTCAATATCTTTAAATGATGTAAACCATGTGTTTGCAGATTGCATTCTTCTTCTTCGGCACCTACATGATGGCGGCCGTTTTGCTGCTGCTGAACATGCTCATTGCCATCCTCATGGATGTCTATGGGCAGGTCTGGTCTCTCGAGCCTTTTGCTGCATGGTTTAGGTGGATGGTGAACCAGCACATTGACGTGCCGTAGGACACAAACAAGGCCCTAGTCATCCACTGATGCAGGTGGCAGCTGGTTCTCGCACGAGTGAGTCCCTTTGGCATGAATGCTGGGATTCTTGGCCCTAACTCAGGCTTGGTCTCAGTGATCGACATCTCTTGTTTCTCTTTCTTTAAATCTGGAGACCCACTTCTAGTTCTGCGCCGGCAGCGCTGGGGTGCAACCGAGGACATCATGCGACGTGGAGCGCAGAAGTGGACTGGTGAGCACACGCCGCTTGCTGAGGTCAGCTGATGCTGTAAGAAACTTTGGACGCCGAGTTACCACCCGACACAGCCAGCCCCACCCGACACAGCCTGCCGTCAGATTGTGAAGAAATATGTCGAGAAGAATGGTCCAGAATGTCTGGAAAGTGACAAAGCATCTTGATGCATGAGGAGCTGAAAAGTGGTTGCAGTGAGTGCTTCAGTATTTTCAAAGTGCCGAGTTCCTGCCAAAACCTTGGCAAAGGTCATCTACATCGAAGACGTGCTGTCTTCAGTTCCAGGCACTCAGTTTCAGTGGGGTCACACACACACACATCCAATCATGCCTTCCAATTTGTGTCATAAGTGCTTGGAGTTGTCATTTTCATTCATTCTTTTAAAGGTCTTCTTTACAGCCCTCTACCATCTGATGCTTCCCAGTCCTCTACCGGGTCACGTCACCAGGTCTACTTCGGAGACAGGCGGAGGAAGAGATGACATCTGCCTTGGAAGAGTTTGCCCTGGAGCCGATGAGATTGGGTCAAAACTTGCCGATGGGATGCACCATATATACCTATATCTATATATGGGATATATATATATACATGGGATATAACTATTGTATTCATGAGAATATAGCAATTAATGGGAATATTGTCGACAATCGACCTGGAATCCAAAAGATGAAGGCAACAGAAAACATCTGCAAAATGGAGATGGGAATAAATGCCCGAAACGAGATGAAAACCGTCTGAAACTTGTGGTTCCGGGTTTGGAAGAATTCTGACACGCACTCATTTGGTGTCGTGAGTCAAAAAGTCAAAAACCTATCAACAGGGACTGGAGATGCTGGAGTGAAATTTGATCCTCTGCAGGAGAATACACCTGACATTCAGATCTCTGAAGTGGATTTCTCAGCTGGTTGAGTTGATTTGCTTTCAGACTTGTGAACAAATTGAATGCATTTCAGGTCATTTCGACGATGGGCAGATACTTTGTGCCAGCCTTAAACTCTGCTCTTGGACTCAAGAGAACCAGCCATATGGCGTCATGATTGGATGTTTTTGCCAAGGGAAACGGGGCTGCCTCCCCAGCAGTATCTCCGCGAGATTTAGAAAAGATCGTGCAGTCCTAACCTCAGTCCAGGGTTTCAAAAGGGATCGGTATAGGATCCCAATCAGAATAAATTCAGCCCAAACTGGGATCTCAAAATGGCAGGATTTAGGATTAGGGGACCGGAACTGATCCCTTTTTCATTGAGGATTTTAATCGATTCTAGCTGCCCACTGCCAACTGGATCCATTTCGCAGGAGATTCCATCAGTTTTTGGTGTTCACATTGGCAGTGGATCATTCGGAGGCAAGTGGCAAAGTGCCCCCCCAATCGGGGTGCTCTTGCGAGTTCGGATGTCGACAATGCCAACGTACAGCAGGCGGCTGAGGAGATCGTTTGAGCAGGCTCCGAAAGAATTTGATGGTTGTTTTTGTTTCCTAAGTCATGGGGGTACCCAATTTATCATCCATTTGTATAGGATTTTCATCGATTTTCCATGTAATAAATTATCCACTAATTGGGATACCCCCATCGTTAAAGTCCATTGTTCATTGTTTTTTGGCAGGTATATCAGTGGAGGTGCTTCTCAAAGCAGCTGGTATCATTCTCGAGCCATGGCTCTGAACGGATCATGTCCCGGTTTTTGTTGGTTGATGATTGCAGGGGATTATCAGCAAGGGGAGGGGCAGGTCTGAGTCCAACACAGTGATTTTTCACTCGAAACCGCCCCTCCCCCCCAAAGCTCCCGGGGCATTTTGAAGCGGTGTTGGAAGAAGATTGTCACGGGCTCAAATCCTGCCAGGTCTAGGCAATCTGTATTCAGCATATTAAAATCCTATCAATATCCAATCAAAGTTCAAAATCCCATCATATTTCCCGGCTCATATGAACCTTAGCTTTCGTTCACCCCCACCCTTGGGCCCCAAGTCATGGCTTATCATCAGTAATCATAATCCACAATGGGAATCCCCAAGGAACAGAAGTCATTGGATGAATGGGGCATGGCTTCCTCTTGACGTGACTCTCTGGCACCATTCACAGCTCACGCATCGTGTGACCAAGGACACCCATCAGCCAGAATGGAGCGAGACCAGCCACTGGCCTTCTTGGCGGAAGTCATTCTTTCAACATGTTTCAACAAGAGCTGTGAATTGTGTTTATCTTATGGTTCTTATGTGGGGGTGGGTCGAAACCTATTATTATCAATTCTAATGGGATGAACATCCATTTGCCAGCTATTTTGGGGTTCACTAGGTGCCAGGGTTTTGACCAATAGCCATGTGAAAGTAGGGTACAAGATGCATCAAGATGCTAGAAGTATCGTCAACCCAAGAAATCCATGGTTTCCTCGTCATTTTCCACCGCATCGAGGCAAAGCCCAGATCGCGGCCCTGCGCCATGTGGTCTCCTCTGCCGAGCTGTTGTGCCGCGAAGACAAGACGATCCTCATGTGGCCCGCGCTGAAAAAACCCCATGGATGATGCTGAAACTTCGGGGAAAACCTATGGAACAAACATGAAAAAAACCGCATGGACAACCCATTCTTGTTTGAAATTGCTATATTTGGGGGGTACACCTCCGTTTTCAGACAAAATCACATGTTTAGTCTTTAGCATTTCACAGGTACAAGAGGCCGCATGTTTTTTTGAGAACACATGTAGGAGATAATCTGGAGATGCGATGGGTCAAGCAAAAAAAACCCTCTGAAATGGATGATTGCGTGATTTTGCCCCAGCGCTACAATGTTTTAGCTATCAGAAGCTGGCTGATTTCCTAGAAAAAATGTATGTGAATAAATATACAGATGATATGGAGGTCTGGGGTTAGAGATGGTCGTTTGCCTGTGAGTCTTGCACAGTGCGAATGTTGATCCCGTGTCAATGACAGGTGCCAGCTTTGAAGGCTCCGGGGTGATTCCCAAAGCTTCGAGCAAGTGAAAGTGTTTGAACAACTGGTCACTGTCAAGGCCTTTCAGCCACCATTGCATTTTTTTGGCGCGGCGCCTGACAAAGTCACGCTCGTTTAGTGTAAACGCACCACATGAGAGTATTCTTGCGCACAGAATTGACAGTAACTACCTGTTAAGGATTATTGGGTTGGGAAGCCTCAAAGTTTGTTTGCATTTCGTTGATCTAATGATCGCAGCTCTCACGAATTACCATCCACGAAGTGGATTGCATGCAGTCAGACAGAGTCCTTCTCTTTGGCGTTTGTACAGTGTGGGTAATGACCATCTAGATATGGCTTCGAAAGTCAAAGACGCTTTCGTTGCTTTCAGACCTCGACAATAAAAAAATCAAAAAGTCGATACCAAAGGTGCAAAGACGCTGTAGCTTTTGTTGTGCGTTTAACGGGTCTGCTGTGGGGTCTGCAGGGCTGCGAAAACTGGTTGATGTGACTGGATGCTGAGGCTGAGATTTTCCAGCGTTGGGCCGCGTTGGGTAGATATTCGGTACGCTGCTCGAGGCACACAAGTGATTGAGATGTGCATTTAAGCCTCCACACACACAATTTTCGATGTTTTTGATGTCTTTTGCTGAGATTTTGCAGACTCTTTGAAGCTTCTCTGACATAATTCCATAGATCTATCATGATCTATCTCATATTCATTGCAGGAAGTCTCAGCACCATGTTTCAAGGCCAGCAGGACTTTCGTGTTATGTCAAACGTTTGACGGTTGGCTGAAGCATCTTACAGCTTCCGCTCAGGAGGTGACACGGATGAAGACATCGGGCGGGTGAATTCCGAAGACGAAGTTTGCATCGGTTTCCAAAGGTAGGGCTGTATGTGGGGTTTCAGGTATTAAGCTCTTCATTGCACATCACACTTCTTTCAATCTGAATGGGCCGGTTGAATCATTGTCATATCAAGAGTGATGTGCCACGTTCTAGCAGTCAAAGGTCTATGACACATTACCAGAGGAGATGAAGTCCAGGACTGTTCTACATGGCCATATATCATTCATGGAAACCCATATTTGGACCATGTAAACGATGAGAAAATTTTCAGCATTGGTGAACATCTCATGATCTCATTGAGTTTTTGTTTGAATCTCATGGCCTGCGCAGGCGACACAAGCGCTGCATCTGTGTCGCTATGTCGAATGAAGACCACCACGGTCCAGTGCTAAGCACGACGAATGCCTCAGAAACAAGGGGTGAAGTCAAGAAAAGTTGCATGTTCATGGGATTGCCGCTTTTCTCGCGTTTCTAGAACTTTGCACTCTCAGGTTGGAAGAGAATGTACTTGCACGGCCAGCTGCTCGTTTGTGCCACTTGATGTGGGTTGCAATTACTGGGTGTCTCTTAGCTTCAAGATGTCCAGTCTGCCCAGTCTGCCGCGAGGTAAGCACCTTCCTTCCGGTGACGAGCATGAGAAGCTGGATGATTGGCTCGACTTCAGGTTGGGCCTCTCCCATTTCAATGCATTGTGACTCTTTAAAACTTTAGGAAAGCCTCTGCTTTCCTTGATATTTCTGGATATTTCGCTTAGCCAATGGAGCTCCAAGGATATAAACTGCAGATCATTCAACTTTATCATGCTTCAGGCAGCTGCCTGGACTTGGGATCAATGCCATGCCGAGTACGTTGCCTTCTCAAAAAGTAATGTAATCATTGATGACCCCGCAGATTGCTGGGGCCTGGCTGGGTAGATTTATCACTTTCGGTTGAGAAAGAATCGCTTCACCCTTCCTAGAAGCATCCCAGGTCACTGCAGAATGTCCAGTTCAGCTTGGACGTGGCGTGAATGGAGGAAGCTGATGTTCTGCCAGAGACTTACCATGGACAACTTGGACCACTGCGCACAGTACAGAGATCCATGGCAGCAGGCCGCAGGTTGAGGGCAATCTGCCCAGCACTGGCTGATTCCCCAACTGCCATGATGCTGATATTCTTGGAATAACTTTGCCATGAAAGGGCAAGCTGTTGCAGATGTTTGGCACTCAGGTCTTCGATACCCCGCAAAAAATAATGACACCCTTTCTCCTGTATGGTTTTCAATTCGTCCGACATGATAAGATTGGGTTGACGGGGTGTGGTTGTTGGATTGCTGGGAAAGACCTCTGACTGGTCAAGGAAACAGTGGTTACCGAACTTTACCCAGGTTGATGCCTTCGCAATTGCTTCTGCAGGCAAGTCTCGACAGGACCCAGCAGCCACTTGTGATGGAATTTGTATAACATGTTGACATCATTTGCTTGTGAATGGAAGATGTCTTGCTGTCCCAGCTCATCATTTTACCCATGCGGGAGCCAAAGCAAGGAATGAGGTACAATCGGTACGATATAGAATTGATATATATATATATAATATAGAACGTAAATGCACATAAATGAGTATTATAATTATATATAATTATATATATACATTTTTTTTTATAAATAAGATAAGCATGCACAAGTCCTATCTGCCAAGCTTCCAAGATGATCTTCAGCTTCTCTGAGGAGGTCTTCCCCTTCTTCAACCAGATCGACCAGATCTTTCGACAGTCTTTGGAAGCTCCAAGCACTCAAGGGCGCAGCCATACCGCCATACCCGGGTGCGAACGCAGATCGTGGCAGTGAAGCTGTGCCAACGAAGGTGGGGCACTTGCTGATCTGGTGGCAGGTGATCCCTTTAAGCCCTGCATTGAATTGGAAAGAATTGGATCTGGTTCAGCAAAGACAGAGAGATTGCAGAACATTGTAGAACATTGCATTTGTACAGCTCACGATCTTGGAAAGTTGATTGGACCTGAGACTGAAACTGACCTGCGCTCAATGCTCGATACTGCTGGATTCAGGCTCACTGATTTGGTGCGCAGTACTACCATCTACACATTTGACGAGATTCGTCTCAGCTAACTTTTGTTTCTTGAAAACAAGAACAGTATCCCCAAGAATCGGATGAATGAAATATACACACACACACAATCCCATGAGATCCCATGAGTGCGTTGGAGCTTAGCTCAGTTGGTAGCTTTCACAGTCTTGATTCGATAGATCTGTGTGTTTTCTCTGTCTAGTTGTTATCCAATGGCCATGTCAGCGCTTGCGTCTCGGTCAGCTTTGGCGTCTCTGGGTACTTGATGCACTGGCAGTCACCAGTAAAGCGTATTCTTGCAGACCCAGCTGCTGTTACAACTCAATGCGATGGGTTTGAGCTGCGCAATATGTTGGCTTTGCCTCTCCAGGCTGTTGTTTTTGGCCGGAGGAGAGAAACCACAGGACAGTGGCAGCCTGAGAAGGTCCAAGAATTCCAGCTTTAGCCCATTGTGGCAGCGAAAATCTGACTGCGGCTTCTTGCGGCAAGATGGATCTGTTTTCATGATCCAAGAGAAGTCGGACATGGAAGAGGCGGCGAGACTGTTCTGTAGGCGCATGGTGCTGACGAACTGTACAGAAACGGATGACATTGCGCTGCTGTGCCCTAGCAGCTGCCCCTTCTTGGAAATGAGTGAATACTCGAGCTGGGATGGCTTTGGAAATCATGTTCCATGTGGAACCGCTTGTGTGCCCCCGCAGGAGTGTGGCGCATACCGTCCAGATTCGCCTTTTCCGAATCCGGAAACTCTGAGATGTGAAAGCTGTCCATCTGATGGCTGTGAGGAATGCAATTATGTTGACACTGCTTCCGAAAAGTCGACGCTGCAGTGCACTCGATGCAAGGAAGGCTTTGCCTTAGAGAAGGATGGTCTGTGTACATATCTTTTAGACAAGGTCCTTCTGAAAACCTACATCGTGCTTGGGATCATTCTGACTCTTTTGGTCATAGTGGCGGCCATACTTGCCTACGTCTGCAACAACAATCGCGAAGGCCTGACCCGGGGCATGGAACACCGAGAGCGCTGCTTGCCCCATGATGTGGAAACGAAAGCGGCCGTCCTGGACAAAAACGCTGCTCCAGGAACAGAGGTCTACTATGCTCGTGCTCCGCTGTATCCGTTGAATGTCAATGTCCATTCGCGGAACATCGTTGGGGTTGGATTGGCCCTCTACTACAACCACTTGGTCTTTGTTGGAGTGGTTGCGTTGATCGGTTATTTCGTGCTGAGATTCTCTGAAGGTTTCTTGTTGGTGGTTTCAGATATTAGATAGCTCATGATAGTTCTGTTTTTCTTCAATCCTATCTGGCATGATGATCCCAATATCTCCCAATCCAATTGACTGAACTCCGTTTTTTCTATGTTTGTTCAAAATTCTTCAAACACTGTCCACCTTTGCGGAGGTTTGTTTGGCATGCAGCAATGGGACACCCTGCAGTGCGGCTACGGCGGCACCGCAGGGTCCGAGGCCGCAGCGGTGGGCTACGCCCGGCGCCGGGCCTTGATCGCACTCTTCCTGTGGCTGGCCATCCTGCCGGCCTCCATCATCTTCGCCCGATGGCAGGCCTCCGCGGCCAGGACCTATGATCGGGTCCACACACGAAGCTTGGAGGTGGTTTGAAGTTGCTTTTTTGTGCTTTAGATAGTGTGGAGCTGTTGGTTTATACGCTTTCGGATTCTTGTCCGAGAGTTTTTTTTTCGGGGTTTTACATTGTATTACAATGTATTACATGGTTTTATATGGTTTTACGATATTGTAAAAGAGTAACTTTTGAAAATCAGCAAACCACGAAGGAATGGAGGATTATTGTTTTGGTCTTTCGGGTCTTCCACAAGATGCCATCGATCCAATCGAAATACAGCGCTGGGTGGAAGAGAAGTTTGGGCGGCCGATTGAAGGGGTATCGATTTGCTATGATATCCGTGGAAAGCAGAACTGTTTGGGGTTCAACAATTCTGAACTTCGAACTGCAATTGGCAAAAAACTAGATGACCATTTACAGGTGCAAGAAGAGGCGTTCACTGCTGCCCTGGGAGTGCCTCGAAGTCGCCGCGAAGCCCTCAGATATTCACCCAGCAGGTTGCCTGCCTTGAGTGAAGAGACAGAGACAACCTCACTGGATGGACGTTCAGAGACGCATGCATGGCTGTCTGCCATGAGATGTAGTGGAGAAGCCTTTGTGGTGATGAAACAAGAAGCCGATGTGGAGACCTTTTTCTCACGCTGGGACCAACCCCGCGGTTTACAACGGACAGGATCGTTCTTCTCCTTCCACGATGGGAGTCCGGTTCCCAACTCTTCGCCCCAAAGTTGGAAGAAGACACGCAGGGACCGCACATTTCGAGGGTACGAACTCGAAATTCGGGAGGTGACAAGTGAACCTACCTCCATTATTTGGGAGCACATGGGTACAACTCACCTGCAACTGGCCATGCGAATTTGCATTGGTTTGATTGGATTTCTGCTGGCGATTGCAGTGTTTTATGGTGGTGTGTGTCTTGATGCACTTCAGAAAAAGTCATTTTTTTTTGGGAGACCCCCGTACTGCAAGCAAATCTAAGTTTTGTCGCAAGGCAAGGGGCAGCATGGTCTGGGGCGACTAGAAAACTGGGAAAGCCCTGAATTGAGTTTTTTAAAATATATTTTTCAAACCATATTTAAGGGCTGCCGCCCCTGCCGCCGACCCCGGAAGAATCGGCAAGGAAGCCAAGCAAATTGGCATAAAAACTCTTCGGTGCTTCGCACCTTGAGGCTTTCGACCTTTTTCCTATGTATATTGTTGTGAAATATATTTGATAGGTTTGAATTTTCATTTGTAAATGGGTTTTTCATGATATATTGACTGTCATGGAGCCGTCGGAGCCTATGCATGTCCATTCAGGTGCGTGCCATGTGAAGTGGGGGGGTAGCTGTTTGGGTAGCTGTTTTCGATTTTGGGTGAACTTACAATAAGTGACATTATCATAAGGGCATCTTCACTTTGTGGAGTTGAACGAAGCTTCATTGTGTCGCACGTGGTTGTTTGGCAAGGAATTGTTGGTTTGTGCTCATGGTTTTTTCTTTCCATTTCTTTTTAGGATGGTGTGTCTGACCACCCTTGCGTGAGTCGTAGGCTTCGCAAGGAAAAAGGCACATTCGTAATAATTGGGTTTGTGAAATGGAAAGAAAAAACATGGGCCCAAGCACAACAACAACAACAACAACAAGAACAACAAGAACAACAAGAACAACAAGAACAACAAGAACAACAAGAACAACCACAACCACAACCACTACCATCACAACAATAACAATAGCAACAACAACAACAACAGCAACAACAAGAACGAAACAGCAACGGATTCTCGACCTGGCGCGGCAAGCCGTGCAGTGGCGCTGGCTTCTTCTCGACGAAATCAGCATGGTGAGTGCTGAGATGTTGGCGCGTCTCGAAGCTCGGTGTCGGCAACTTGTTTTAGATCTATCTGCCACAAAATATGGCAAACATATCCCTAACTGCATTGCGCCCTTCGGTGGCCTCAATGTCATTCTCTCGGGCGACCTGTGGCAGCTACCTCCACCACGTGGAACGTTTCTCGGTCAAATTCCCTGGCACCTTGTGACAGGCGTCCCATCTAAGAAGTTGCCACTAAGCTTGCAAGGCCAGCAGATCGTATGGGCCTCCAGCCGACAAGGTGGCCTACACGGCGTTTCAGAACTGATACGGTGCGAACGAACGCAAGATGTCTGGTTACAGGAGCTGCAAGCCGAACTTCGCGTCGGACGCTTATCCGAAGACAACCATGCATTCCTACATGGCCGACCCACAAGAGTTCCGGGAAGCTGGTGCGCAACAACGCAGCAGCCTACCTGCGGAGAAAATACATGCAATCGCTTGTACAAGCACGGTTCCACAGCGACGACGATTCTCAAGTACGAATGTCACATGTGTCGCGCTGACCGG